TAGAGGGGTCTCCGCAGTGCCGGCGATGTTAACAAGTTCCCGGGTTTCGGCACCAGATGTCCCGCGCGATAGTCTTGCCGGCAAGAACCACACAGGACATTCGGATCCTTCTGCAGTAAAGCTTTAATGCGTCTTGAGAGGAGAGCATAAGCTTACCAGAGCGGAGACCCCGAGCCAAGAATCCCGTCCCCTAATAAAGGCTCACAGACTCTGAGCGATGCGTGTACAGCTGGGATAGGTGGATGACTCGTCACCCTATATGACGCCATGGAATAGGCGGGGCTAGGCAGTGGAAAAACACTGGGCACATGTATACCAACGTTGTTTACTTGATCCGGCAGCGGATGTCAGCGCCATCTTGTAATGGAGAATGCAGGGACGGCTCCCTACATGTTTGTATGTAATATATGGTGTATGCACACATGTATGTGGAGGCATGCACAGCTGTAAACAGCAGATGCCAGAGAAGGATACTGGATGTCCTGTTCAACTACTCTGTGCCTTATTTCCCTAAGACAATGTCTCTCGTTGAATCTGGAGCTAGGCTGGCATGCAGCAACCTCCAGCAGTCATGTTGTCTTTGTTTTCTTGACAATGCTGGCATTATAACACCATGACCAGCTTTTTACATGAGTTCTGGGGCTTTGAACTTAGGTCCTTATGATTACATAGAAGAAATTTTACCCATTGAGCCATCTCCCTAGCCATGCCTTTAAAAAAAACTTTATGTTCAAAACCTTTTTTTTTTTTTTTCTGAAATGTTATATTAGGTTCTATCGAATCTTTGCTGATAAGATGCAGTCCCATGCTTCCCCACTGGTGTAGGGAATTTGACTGTCTGGAGGAAGTGATTCAGAGGTGCTATTTCTAGCCTGCCTCCAAGATCTTCTTAAGACACATGGCACTCTGACCAGTTTTCCATGCTGTAGAAGTGTTTTCCAAGGTTGGTCCCAAACATAGTGCCATGATTCACATTCTGGTAGTTTATAGAATCCAGACACTCATTCTTTCAAAGGTAGGCTCTATGTCACCTCTCCTTGGAACTGAGTGGGATTTTTGTTGACCAGTCGATTATGATGCTAGGATGCCATTGGCTTTCACTGTTAAGAAGTCATCCACTTCCACTTTTGCATATCAGAATTCCCGTTGTCTTGGAGCTCAGCCACCTGGCCTTGGGAGTATTCCAGAATCCCCCTTGAGAGGAACCACCAGAAATTTGCCAACAATGTGAGATGGCTTGAAATTCGCTTTTCTGCCATCATCAAGCTGTCCAGGCTGATAAAGCATGGGGCAGAGTTGCGGCTTCCTCGAGGATCCCAATGCATACTGCAGATTTGTGTATATTTCTAATCTTATGGTTGCTCTGTCTATCTGCCTACAAGGGTAAATCCGCAGTAGGTAAAAAAGCTCATGCTTTTTCTAAAATCTTCTGAAGATCTCTTTGGGGTCATTTACTTTTTGGGATTTTGTTGTTGTTGTTCTTTGTTTTTTGAGACAGGGTTTCTCAGTGGCTTTGGAGGCTGTCCTGGAACTAGCTCTTGTAGACCAGGCTGGTCTGGAACTCACAGTGTTCCACCTGCCTATGCCTCCCCAGTGCTGGAATTAAAGGCTTTCACCACCACTGCCTGACTTACTTTCTGGGTTTTTAAAGCAAAAAACCAACCATCCCAGATTTCTGGTTACTTAAAATTCTTGTTTTCAAGTTCTCACTATTTTTCAACTAAAAAGTGCTCAGGGATGATGTGGGCTGGAGAGATGGCTCAGCAGTTAAGAGCTTTGGCTGCTCTTTCAGAGGTCCTGGGTTTGCTTCTCAATACCTTCCCACATGGTGGCTCACAAAGGGAGTCTACAACTCAAGTCCTGGGGGATCTGATGTGATCTGCTTCCATGAGCACCAGGCCTTCCTTGTGGTACACACACATACAAGGGGACAAAATATCCATATGCATAAATTAAATTGTTTTTGCTAGCTGTTGGTGGCAGACACCTTTAATCCTGGCATTTAGGAGGCAGAGGCAGCCAGATCTCTCTCTGAGTTCCAGGAGAGCTAGGGCTATACAGAGAAACCCTGTCTGGAAAAATCACAAATTCTTTTTTTCAAGAGCTGCAAACAGTGCCTACTTCATATGCATACCAGATAATCCATGTGATCATTTAATATCACACCCAGCACAAAACATTTCTCATATTCTTACTAGTTTTTCTGTGCTCACATTCTGAGTTTTCCTTATTGCATTTTCTCTCATTTCTCATAGTACAGGGTTGCTCTCAAGCTATTTCATATCTCATAGAACTCCTCATTTAGGATAGGGATTCTCAAACTGAGGGTCACAACCCTTTGGGGGTCAAATGATTCACAGGGTTGACTAAGACCATCGGAAAACATAGATATTTACATTATGGTTCATAACAATAGCAAAATTGCAGCTATGAAGTAGTAATGAAAATAATTTTATGGTGGGGGGTGGTCACCGCTGATTTAGGAGCTCCTTTAAGATGTTAAAGACCTCTTTGAATCATTAAGGCCATTAGTTAATGCTTCTCTCTGTTCCAGTAGCACCCTGGGAAAACCTGTTACAGCTTCACACATTAGCCTGCAATCACTGTCTTTTCCACAGTGGACTCTTTCAGTTCAGGAAGGCATGGTCTGCTTTTGCTCTGGTCTCCTATGGTAACTCAGCTCCAAGCTGCAACATTCTCCCTTTCATTCACCTTCTACTCTTTGTGTCACTGTGCTGGCAGCCAGGGTTAGGTGAGGCCTGTGCTTTGGCAGACCTGCCTGGGAAAGCAGCTGCATTGTTTTTGCTACAACCTTAGAAAACGTTAACAGCATCTAAACAGCACGTTAAAATGGAAGCAGCAACAGCCCCTTAAGTCTCATGAAAGGAGCTGGAGAAACGGTTCTGCAGTAAAGAGCACTTGGTTCTCTGGCAGAGGACCCACCTGGAGGCTCACAACCATTCTTAAGTCCAGTTCTGTGGATCTGGCCCCTGAAGGCACCAAACCATGTATGTTAGTGTTGTTAACTTGATAGAATCTAGAAACACCTAGGGAAAAAAGCCTCTGGGCATGCCTGTGGGGGACTTAATTGATGTATGGACACCCATCTTAATTGTGGTTGTCACCTGGGCTGTATAAACAGAGAGGTAAGCACTAGCATGAAAAATTCGATGTGACCAGCTGTCCTTAACTATGGTGATTATCCCCTTTGAACTGAAATTAACCCCTTTTCCTTTAAGTTGCCTTGTGGAGTATTGTGGTGATATTTTATGATCTAATAAAGCTTGCTTGAAGATCAGAGTGCAAAGCTAGCCACAGCCATTCAGGCCAGACAGTTGGTGGCACACACCTTTAATCCCAGAAGACAGAGGCAGATGGATCTGCGTTCACCACCACCCTAGGAAAACCTGTAGGGAGGTGGAGAGAGAGGAATCATAAGGCAGAAGGAGACAGGAAAGCTTGGATTTAGAGGTTGGTGGAGAGCAATGCAGTCTGAGGACAAGGATCTCCCCTTCCTTCTGAGCTTTGGTAGAGGTGAGAACTCTCTAGTGGCTGGCCACTTTGTTTTTCTGATCTTCAGCCTTAACCTCAATATCTGTCTCTGAGTTTTTATTATCAATATCAACTATTATTCGTGCTACAGGATATTTTATCACAGCAACAGGAAAAGAAATGAAAACACCCAACAATCCCTTTTGGGACCCCTCCACTTTTAGGGCCTTCACTCTGAAGGTACTCCTACTCCTTTAGGGATTACTCCCCTACTTGTTGCAAATCCTTTTGGGGTGGGGGACAGGTCGGAGAGCCCCCCTCCCTTTTTTTGTTGATTGTTTGCTTATCAAGACAGGGCTTCTCTGTGTAACTTTGGAGCCTGTCCTGCAACTTGCTTTTTAGACCAGGCTGACCTCGAACTCAGAGATCCTCCCGCCTCCGCCTCCTAAGTGCTGGGATTAAAGGCGTGCGCCACACCGCCAGGCGAGGCCCCCCCCCTTTTTTTTTTATGTGAAATTAAAACATTTAGAATTATTTGTCAGGGCCTTGACAACCAGTTTCCCAGTTAGAAGCTTTGCCATCGAGTGCTTCTCGTTTGGAACAAGCCCCCCGATCACCAGGTCGACGGAGATGCGGCGCAGCGTCAGCCCGCCGCGCAATGCGGGAACATTGAATGAACAAATGGAACGAATGAATGAATGAGCTACGCCGGGGGCCGGGCCTTTGTTACGTCGCCCACCGGCGCAGGCGTGGTCGGTCGCACGTACGCTACTCGTGGACGCCGGACACCCAGTCTCGCGCAGATTCTGCCGCGGGCGAAGCAGCTCGGCG